GTCTTGTATCAAACGAGAGATTGTGCAGAGAGAGGGGTGTGTGTTTGTGTTCATCACATGAAAATAGTGGAGGATATTTTGAAGATTTTGGTGAGTTATTTTTTTTAATGTAGTCTTTTGGCGTGCTCCATTGTGAACGTAATGATAGAAAGACAGAATTGCAGTCATTGCAGACTTTATTCAAACCTTTAGTTTGTGTCACCCACAACTCCAAACATTTTATTCAGTTACAACACAAGAAAAAATGGATTGTCCTTCAACTCAATAAAATGTTTGGGACTATGGATGATACAAACTAAAGATTTGGGTAAAATCTGCATAAAAATGAAAAGTTTGGGACTGCAGTTGCAATTCTTAATAATAGAAATTTGAAACTTATCTTAGAAAATAAATTCACTAAATTTTTTTTTTTTTTAGAATAAATATAGTGGAAAAAGTCTTTGAGTGGCCTAATATCTTATTTTTGAAACTTCGTAAGACCAAACATACCCTTATGGCTTGTTTGATTTATAAATTAAATAGAATTTAACATTACGTCGAATGAGATCTTGATTTCTTTTTTTCTTTTAATATATTCCATATTATTATTACTAGTACAATTTTATGAATTTTCATGCATCTTCATATTAATTCAAAAAAACAATTACAATAGAAATTCAACGAGTCCTCATAAATTTGGTTGAACCCCATTTTTTCAAAAAATGTATTTTGGAATAGTGATTTGATAGAGAATGTGTGGTTAAAATATAAGAAAAAATTCTAGATTTACATGTAATATTATTTTATTGAAAAATGTGATTGAAAATAAGGGGGAATTTTTTTTTTTTTTTTTTAAATAATGGATATGACTGAATAGGTCAACTTATTGTAGTTAGAACCAGATCTATTATTGGGGTTAATTTGCCCCACTTCAATGAGTTAATTATACATTTGTATTTACCTATAATAATTATTATTTAATAGCTTCATTTTCAAATACTAATGTGAATGTTCATATTGATATACTACAGACTTAATTGTTAGTAGGTATATTATAAGTAAATATTAAAAGTAACTATAAACCAAAACCTTTTGTCCCCGTCAATATGTGTGCCATTTTAATCATCAATTAATTTATAAAATAACTTTGTAAAATAGGATATAAAGAAATATGGTATCATCTATGGAATTTTCTTCCGATCTCAATGAGAATCAAGACACAACAGTCAAACAAATTGTAGTACATAGGGAAAATTTCTTAACAAGGACCTAACATTTTTAGGAGGAAACGAAAAGTAACATTTTTAGCTATTTCTTATAGGAAGATTAATTCTTTTTAGTCTAGTTTTTTGTTAAATCGCTCGACATCAAACTTCGAGCTTGTCATCACTTTCACATAAATCCCAGATTTTGAATAGTGGGCTCTAATACCATTCTTTGGAAAAAGAATCACAACAAATATTATCTTATGTACATCAAGAAAGCCAAAACTGACATATCGATACATAATTTACGTTATAATGATCTTTTTAATCTTATTTGAGTAAGTTTTTCACTCCCCTAATCAAGATTTCACATAAAGCACATAGATCTACGAGTTATTTTGATGTGCACATATTATCAAGCAAATACCGGACCTTTCTTCTTTAACTCAATGTTTGGCTAATGTTTATGATTTTCTTATAAACTGTCAAATCACTTTTTATTCACATATTTTATGAAATTCACAAGTATTACTCACTTTCACTTAATCATAATTCTTTTTTATGCATGTAAACTCCCAAACATGTAGATTAATCATGTAGATCAATATAAGAAGAACTAACTGCCATCGAAATAATCTGACCTGAATAACTAAGTCTCCAATTGGTAAATTTATAAAAATTCGTTAAACATTACAATACAGTGGATCAGCAAGTACTCATTTATATCTATTTATAAATTGAAGCATTTATAAAAAAAATTTCCAAATGAAGGCTAAAAATTTAATAACGCTACACCACTTTTCTTTATGTATTTAATGAGAAAATTGTCAAGTTACTATTTTACCCCTCCTAATTTTGTCAAAATTGGTCAAAATCTATTATTCTTGGTCAACAACGGTCAACTAGACGGAAACCGTCCATTTGGACTCCGGGTACGAATTGTTTAAAA